ATCCAAGATGCCCAGGATAGAATCCAAAATTACTCAGCATATAAGGAACCAGAAAAATCTCAACTCACATGGGAAAAGAAAACTAACAGATGTCAGATGTTGGAACTATCTGACAAAAAATTTTATAGCAGTGGGTGCAAAATGCCCCTCGAAGTCCTTTTTACGGGTTCTCATATAAGAGCTAGATCTTGTAATTCACATAGTCTCATCTAAGAACTGAAATACTCTGTTTCCGTCATTACTAATGTGTAGTAATTGGTACCTGAAATGGGTTACTAGCTGAGATGCTGATTGCTAGCTGTTAGACCTTGAGCAAGCCTCTTTCCCTCTCTGGGCCTCATCTGTAAAGTGGGCTACCTGATCACATGCTCTCAAAGGTCCCACCTAGCACTGATGCGCCAAGGCTTTGCACTCGACGTCTACGGAGTGCCAAGAGGCAGAGTTATAAGGCCAGTGACGCTGAAGCCTGAGGGCCCCTCACTTGCCTGGTAACCATATGGATTTGTAAAATTTACCAACTTGAGATATTTAACCACAATTGATTAAGACTTGTGTCTCTTTGCACTCTGGCTTCTCTTTGTGTCAGGTCTCATTTTTGTGTTTTGTGTTCTTTTCCTTAAAGAGGGTCCTCCAAATTATATAATCTTCAGAACGCAAAACCTGGATCTGCCCCTGTCCTATTCAGAGAATTATAACAAAGATGGCATTAAACTAGAGATTTGTTTCTGAGTCGTGTCTAGAAAGCATCCAATATTTTATTGGGAATTAGTTGCCAAGTTCTTCTCTTAGGACTTCAAGAGAAGAAGCACCTACTTTTCTTTCAGTGCTCAGCTTAATACCACTTCTTCAGGGCTTCTCAGAATCCCTAACACTTGATGTTCATTACTTACGAATAACTCTAAGCCTCACAAAAACAGGGACCATATCTTTTCTATTGACTGATGTGTCCCCAGCATCTATTACAATGCCTGACACATAGTAAGTACTCCATAAATGTTGCTGAATGAATGAATTAAGTTAAGAAGACCTATTATACTTATACTTAAATACACTCCATGAAGAAGTTGAGACTGAGCTCTTACTCTGGGCCAGGCACAAAACCAAAAAATTCCAGGCTTATTTAGAAGACCGTTAAGAGTGTCTTACCAGTTGATTCAAATGTCCAGAATATGAAGCACTTGTTGCTGTGGTCAACACTGATCCAGCAGTGGGAATGTAAGCTGAAATTTACTCATGAAAGACAACCAGTGTTGAGATTATGGGAAACGCTTCTTTACTTGCAATGCACTATGCCTTATTTAAAAGGGACTGAATGAGCCAGAGTTCAGACTTTTGTGGCCAATAAGGACCCTATTCTTTTCTTAATTGGGGACAGGTAGATTCTCCATTGTACCTCCTTGACAAATAAATTAAGTGTCCCTATTTCAGAGTCAAAACTTTTCCATTTCTCTGAACTATTATTGTAGAGACCAGGTATGGACCTCTTCAGGGTAGCACCAGCTCTTCAAATGCTCACCTTGTTTTGCGTCATCCCACAGGCTAGAAGCTGTCTTTCTCTCCTGCTTACATCTTCCTGTTCCAACTACTTTATTAAGTATTTGCTGTAATAGTAGCAGCAGCCGCAACAAAATCGTCAGCTGAGAGGAAGTCTATGCACAGGAGGAGACAGAAAAGAGCGCTTGGGAGGGAGAGAGACAGCAAATGATGGGGCTGGTGAAGGGATAGCAGAACAACAGGAAAGGGGGACTAAGAAGAGAAAGTGACATGGGAATTACATAAACTCACTACATAATCTCATAAAACTGACATTTCCAAAAGGAAATGGAAATCGTGGAAGGTGCCACAACTCTGGAGCAATGACGATTCTGGGCTCCTGTTATAAACACCCACCAGAAAAAATACACATTTGGGTTAGGAAGAGCGGGCACTTCCTCTCTCCTTGGGTGGACGTTTGTGATTGCTACTTTCAAGTCCACCGCAAGCCGTTGCCATTGGCCTGCCGTCTTTGCCCTGAGCATCAGAGGGATGTAGGGATGTGGGTCCAGAGAGGGGCTGCCCATGTGGCATGCCATGACAGGTTTTCATTTCCATCTTCCTCAAGCTCTGTGGGTGCTCCACACACCTCACATTCCCAGTTGTACTCTGGGTAATGAGGAAAATGATTGGCCTGACCTGGTCCTTTCATTTTTTTTCCCACTCATGGCTTGAGCTTTCATTAGTTTTCAGTTCTCATTAAGAGAAAAATCAAAGAGTGAGAATTAAACACCTCCTGATTTATTAGTTTACTGAAAATGGGAAGATGAGAGTCCTGGGACTGGCACTGGATGAAGGGCCCGGACGATGAGACGAGTGAGCCGCCGTAGGATCCCGATGGCTGTCCTCCTTCTCTTCCCTCTTGGGAGCAAGAGGGAGCCATCTCACACCCAGAAATCCTTTGAGTCTCTATGTTTATGACTCGGTGTTGTGAAATCTGGCACCGTCTCTGAGCCGAGATAATAGACTCAAATCACATTGAGTTTTCTGGGTTTGGTTGCCTTAAACCTTTCACCAGCGCTCGGTTATAGGTCTAACCCCACAGATGCTAATCCTCAGGTATAGAGGCTGTGTCCAACTCATCTGCTAATTCCCTACTATGTGCAAGGCACATGGCAAGTGCTCAACAAATGAATGGAGAGGGTGAATGAATGCATGCATGCTGAGATAAAATGAATGCCCTTAAATTGTATGTCTGTGTGCATGTTTAATACTACCCCGCCTCACTACAAAAAGGAAACAAAGACAGTATGATGATTCCTAAACAAAAATTAACCATAGCATTACCATAGGGTCCAACAATTTCAGTTACCTAAAAAGTAGGGACTCAAACAGATACTTGCACACCAATGTTCATAGCAGCATATTCACGATAGAAAAATGTAGAAACAACCCAAATGCCCGTCAGCAGATGAATGGATAAACAAAATGTGGTACGTACATACAATGGAATATTATTCAGTCTTTAAAAGGAAGGAAATTCTGACACATGCTGGAAATGGATGCACTTTAAAAACATTATGCTAGGGCTTCCCTGGTGACGCAGTGGTTGAGAGTGCACCTGCCGGTGCAGGCGATGCGGGTTCGTGCCCCGGTCCGGGAGGATCCCACATGCCGCGGAGCAGCTGGGCCCGTGAGCCATGGCCGCTGAGCCTGCGCGTCCGCAGCCTGTGCTCCGCAACGGGAGAGGCCACAACAGTGAGAGGCCTGCGTACCGCAGACAAACAAACGAACAAAAAAACATTATGCTAAATGAAAGAAACCAGACTCAAAAAGGCGAATATGGTATGATTCCACCTATATGAGGTACCCAGAATAGTTACATTTATACCAACAGAAAGTAGAATGGTGCTATCAGAGGCTGTGGGAGGGGTATTCTCTAATGGATACAGGGCTTCAGTTTGGGATGACAGAAAAATTCTGGAGATGGGTAGTGGTGATGTTTGCACAACAATATGAATGTATTGATACTTAACGCCACTGAATCGCACACTCAAAATGGGTTAAAATGGTTACGTTTATGTGTTGTATATTTTACCACAATAAGAGAGGAAATAAAGCGATATTCATTTATCATACTGACATTCCTGAATCAGCCAAGAGAACATTAGTGCTGCCCATACAGCTTGCATCTAGCTGTATGTGGAAAAGGAGGCAGTCCCTGCATGGTCACACGGTTTTGAGGGGCCATGGGCCAGCACGCTCCTCATGGGTGTGCACTGCCCTTTTTCCCATGTGGATCTGCAGGAATCTGGCCTTCCCCACAAGCTTCCAAAGCTGGAAGTTACAGGAAAATCTTCATTGCCCCTTGAATTGTACCACCCATCTGAGGATTACTCACTAATTGCTGCAGACTATCTTCCAAGGGACAAAGAAACACTAAACCTATGTGGGTTCACCCTTTCTAGGCACCCGGTCTAGATAAGCACTGTCACACAAGGAACCAGAGCTCAGCCTCACAGAAAGGACTGAGTTTGAATTGCAGCTCTCTGAATGATTAGTTGTGTGGCTGTGGGCAAGTCACTTTAAGTGAGCTTCAGTTTCCTCATCTATAAAATGGGAATACTACTATGCCTACCTCGTATAGTGGTTGTTAAGGTCTAAATGAACTAATAATATAAGTGCTTAACAGAGTGTCTATAATAAAATGAGTATTCAATAAATATAATTTTCATATAGGAGATGCATGACAGGTGGTAACAAGGGTGGGGGAAGGATGGTTATGCATGTCACTACAGGAGCTGAAATATTTCAAGTCTACAATCTAAACCTTGCACAGGCCAGCCAGTCAGGAGGAGCCTCAGGAGTGAGCAGGAATCCTGGCAGGCAATAAAATGGGGATTTCTAGGGAGATGGGCGGTTCTCAAATAATCCTTTTTATGGTACCTCTCATCCCTCAACTCATTCCTTAATCTTTGGGTAGTTTCTGTCTTTGCTGATAGATTTATACCTTTTTCTCACATGTACTAGAAAGTGTACCCATTCATGCTTAGGAAATATCTCAAAACCTGTGAAACTAAAAATTTTAGGATTATGTTAATTATAATGCCAAGCAAACAGAAGACCCATTAAGGAGAGTTGCAGGATGAAGTCATTCCCATCAGCATGATGGTTTGGATGAACTTTGAGTGTACAGTGATGCTTCTTCCATGATTTCAGTCAATCAATCAAACTCTCATACTGGGGACTTCCCTGGTGGCGCAGTGGTTGAGAGTCCGCCTGCCAATGCAGGAGACACGGGTTCGTGCCCCGGTCCGGGAAGATCCCACATGCCGCGGAGCGGCTGGGCCCGTGAACCATGGCCGCTGAGCCTGCGCGTCCGGAGCCTGTGCTCCGCAACGGGAGAGGCCACAACAGTGAGAGGCCCGCGTACTGCAAAAAAAAAGAAAAAGAAAAAAAAAAAAAAACTCTCATACTGATTATGCTGAATTGAAGTTACTAACTTTAATTATTTTCTTAATTTTAAGGTGCATCTTCCCAAAGCCTGGAGAGATTTATAGAAAGGTAAGTGGAAGAGGGAGGGATACAAGAAGTTGTTTTTAAGTTAAGTTTCTATTTTGAAAAATGAATAAAAACTCTCTGTTGTTACCCAGTAACCACTTATACTGAGCATCTATACCTTGTTAGTCACTTTCCATACACTGGGAAGTTGTCACTTCTTGGGCCAGTGACCATAGGAAGTGATTAATTTACATGTGTCCATAAAAATGCATACAAAGTGGGTAAAACTTAGGTCTGGCCAAAGTATTGCTTCTTAATCCTTGAACAAGAAAACAATTTTGTGCTTGTATTGGACTTAAAATTCAGAAGCAAGGCCTTGGGCGTCCAGAATAGAAACCTTGATAAACCCTTGATTTTTCAAAGTTGACCACAGGTCCACAGCTGTAATAATGTCCTACACGTCTGGACACAAGTAACTCAGATAACTCACCTGTGTTTATTCGTGACAACTTCTGTGAAACATACTGTAAAGATAGTAGTGTGTCCTCCTATGGGAGACTTCAATCTGCTCTTTTAGTTCTATGCATTTATGGGGTCTTTTCCTAATGGATAAGTGGGTTAACATTTATAGAGAAGAAGAGGGAAATGGGAATGAAAGAAAAATAGCAAAATGTTACCAAGAAGATGGTCATACAAAGATTCACAGCTAGGCTTCCAAGCGTTTGACATTCAGATTCCATCTATGGTTTCCCAGTTTGTCTAGGAACCAGCTGTTGGACCAACCAGCCATTGTCATATACGCCATGATTGGAAATGATGTCTGCAATGGGTGAGTTACTGAGAAAGGTTTGGAAAATTCTTTGACTCCGAGTTTCCCTGTCCTCTCAACTCGATCCACTCCATTACAGTAGCCTGCTGTGGAACTGAATTTCCCTATCTTAGCAAGTCCTAGACACATGTGAAATCAACAGAACCAAGCTGCAAAGCAGAAAGACTTGAAGAATATCTGACCCATTAATTCTTTGCTCTGATTCATAACAAAGGAGTGTGTCATGATCAACTCTTGAGTTATACCGCAAGAAATATGTTAGTGCTAATCAAAAATCCAAGATTGAGAATCATGGCTTTTTAAATAAAATAAGGCAAAATCACAGCTATCTCATAAGAACAGCTTCCTCACTCATATTCTGATTCACTTACCCACGTGGTCAAGACAGCATAGACCTGGAACTTTGCAGAGAAACTGCACATAATTCACAGCCAATCCTATTTATGCCCGTGGCCCATCGTAAGAAAGTAGTTTTGCTAAACTGCTAATATCAGTAGTGATTTCAAAATGTTGAATGCCTTCAGTCCCCCACAACATTTTGGAAGGCTTCTCGAAGTCTGTGCCTACCCCTGAGAATATGCCGCACATGTGAATGCCATCTGTCCTGTGATCATGGCCAAAAAGAAAAAAAAAAAAGATAGGTGAGATCAGCTCTAAAACAACTCCCCAGTCGCCACCCACCCATCATGTTAGTAAAATAGAAAAGCAAAGCCAAGAGAGGTGACACGACTTGCCCAATTAATCGACTGATGGCAGAGCTGGACTCCAACCCAAGAGGTGTTAGAAGCGGGCCACCCTGTTCACTGCCCACCTTTTGCCTTCTCGTACTTCACTCACCAAGTTTCTGAGCCTGTGCTAAAAACATGGTTCCGTATTATGAACATGTGTTTGCCCTCATGGATACCTCCATGAGAGCTCCAGAGCTCTTATGGTGAAGGAGGTGTAGGCCTAAACGGTGAAGTGAGTTCAGGGCAGGAGATACCACACTGCCATCCAGAGACACTGATATGCCCTGCCTTGGCAGCCCCTAGACTGGTTTACCGCTGTCCGCAGAACCCCAAGTCTGCCAAGACCACATGCTGAGGACCCAAGGTATCTCTGTAATGACCCACCTGGAACTCTGCAGTAAATAGCAAACACCCCCAAAACCTTCCATAAGCCAAGAGCCACACCAGTCTCTATATCAGGTCATCCCCAGAGCAACCCTAAGAAGCAAATGTGATTGTCCCATTTTACAAATGAGGAAATTGGGGTTCAGCAAGGTTAGGTGAGGAACTTGCTTCTGCTGTTATCGAGCAGTAAAGCTGAGAGCCCATCCGGGTTCTCTGACTAAATTCTGTACTCTTTCTACAGTCCACACTTGCCTTATTTGCTTTCTTTTATGAATTCACTTTTAAACGTACGTATTGACCACCTATGAAATGCCAAGCTGTGTGCCTGGCTCTGGGATATGATGGCAAAGAGGCCACCGTCCCTAACTTCAAGGAGCTTACGGAAGGAGAAGCAATGAGCTTCAACCCCCAGTCCCATCACAAAACAGAACAAACCTATGGTCAGGTCAGCCAGTGCCCCTCCAACCTCTGGATCCTGTCCCGCTGGAGGGGACAGAGAACAAGCTGGTTATACTGCGTAAAAAACACCTGCAGAAAGAGTCTTTTAGTCCAAGAGCCCAAAATCCCTGAAACTGCACTTTTTCAGCAGAAGCTGTACACGCAGGGGCCCCTCCAGCCCAGTCCTGCTCTTCGTTTTCCAAGGAGCCGAAGGGCAGGCAGACATCAGTCAGAGACCCATGCCAGCCTCTCTGCCCTCCGGGGATCCGGGCAGAGAAGCAGCAAGCATTTGGGTGAAAGGATGGAGTTGGCAGTGTGGGATGTCCCCGCAGTGCCCACTTTGCAACGTCCTGTGGAGGGGTTAGAAAAATAAAGACAGATGGCAAGTATACCTCCCCATCTGCCAGAATGTCGAGGTGGAGGAGATTACCCCAAATGAGCAAAGTGATTTCATAAAAGCCCAAGCCAGCAACGAATTGCGTAAGTCCATCCTGAAAAAACTTTTAGGGTATTTGCTTGACTTTTCTCTTTTTTTATTACAACGATGCTCGCTTTTACTAGAATAATGCAGCTATGTGCTTCTTTCTCAATTCTCTAAACAAACGTAGATAATAAATACTTGTTAAATGAATGAAGGTCATGATTGCAAGATAGCTTTTAGCGTCAGGAATTCAAGAAGAGAGGTGAAATAGACAAACCTAGCTTTCTTGTTGTACCTCTACTCAATTTGGCCTAAGCTAACCCAACTTCTTTGCGCGTTTCCTATCATTGCCTTCAAAAGCTATAGAGTGTGAGTGATACCGAAGGAGAAGAATTCCTGGAAATAGGGCAAGTATGAGTGAGCTACAGCAGCGGAGGCTTGGGTAGCAAGGGCAGCAATGAGAAATGGGAATGGCCTCAAGTCATAAAGGGCGATGACAAACCTTCCCCAATATCCGATTACAACATCCCTGAAAAAAACATTGTAATTACTGGAAATGTATAAAAAAAAAATAGAAGCATCTAACACTAGCCACAGAAATGGACATGGTTCCATTTTTTATAGTGGACCTAGACATTATAAATTGAACATTTTTCACCTAATGGAGAGAGCCAGAGCTGCCCTACAGAGGTTGTCTGTGTCGCCAGCTCCCAAGTGTTTTTCAGCAATGCCGATGTTTCAGTTGTCACCTAGGGCAGCTGGTCAGCACTGCATTAAGAGGAAGCAGTCAAGATGCTGATAGATCACAGACTCCAAGGAGTTGAACTGCCAGGAAACAATCCATTCTATCCAGTCAAGGGTAGAAAACCAGCAGAGAAGGGAATGGATAGAACTCTGCTGCTCAGAGGAGTCTTCTCTCCCAGCCTCCTCAGTGAAGGTGTGGGTAGCCAAGGGAAGAATGAGCTTCTCTACCAGCCAGCATGTTCCAGGCCATATCCTCTTTTAGGGGACCCAGGATCTCTATGCATCGGGTAATGTGGGCTCATTGAGACCCCACCCCATTCCCAGTCTATGTCAAGATGCCTCCTCATGGAGGTTGGGTGGGAGGTCAATAATGTGATTACAACTGGGGGGCCTGAAACCAAGGGCTACCTCTATTACCTGGATGCTTCAAAAATACGAAAGCGAGCTGTGAGTGAAATCTGAGCACTCAACCACAGCAGGTCTCTAGGCTTTCACTCTGGTTCTGGGCAACGTTTTCTGCAGAGGCTGTTTACCTTCCTCCTTGAGAGGGGGGCACCCCTGCCATCAGCCATCAGTGAAATCTGGCTGGAACACCCGCCAGGGTAATGGCCCTGCACCCAAGTCATGAGGCTTACCTTGCGTGATCAGGCACAGTTCATTAGGACAGGGACAGACTCCGAGCCACCCGAAACACGAGGCTCTTTATCTGTTCCAAGCCCACCACGTGTTCCTGACGTGTGAGAGCGTGGTGCTGGGCACCATCTTCTCTCCCATTATTTTCCTGGAATAAGCGTCATGTCTCTCAACCTGGCTTTCATAGTTCTCCCCTGTAAGCCCTGCACCCTCAACCCCTCACCTCTCCAGGACTGACCAGCATGAGCTCACCAGTGTGTGAGGAAGGGTGCAGGGCACTGCCGCAGCAGGCAAACACGGGATGGCAAAGTGAACCTGACGTGGGCTCCAGAGCACCTGCATGAAGAGGTTTAGACACTTTCAGCTCAGCCCATGCAGCCTTTGACAGCAGGGCAGGCCTAGGAGGTGTTTCCCAAACCACTGGGACTCTTTGGTCCCAAAATACTAGTGCTAAGTCCCCTCAAATATTTCTGGAGGAGAAAGAGTACACAGGTCAAAGGGTGTTGAGAATTTTTCAGGGACAGGGTCAGAGGGACCATCTATGGCATCCAGAGGAGGTGACCCGCCACCTGTCACTCAGACCCTTTTGCCCTTGCCTGAACTAAGAATTGGTCAATTTTGCTATACACACTACAGGGTTTACCTGGCAATGCGTGTATGTAAATTATCTAGCTGTACGTGATGGAGCAAAGATGACTGGAGAATGTTCCAGCAGAAACACCAAGGCTTCCATTCTTCTTTTTTTTTTTAACTTTTTATTTTATATTGGAGTATAGCTAATTAACAATGTTGTGATAGTTTCAGGTGCACAGCAAAGCAACTCAGCCATACATATACATGTATCCATTCTCCCCCAAACTCCCCTCCCATCCAGGCTGCTGCATAACATTGAGCAGAGTTCCCTGTGCTATAGGTAGGTCCAGCAGGACCTACACAGTAGGTCCTTGTTGGTTATCCTTTGTAAATATAGCAGTGTGTACATGTCAACCCCAAATTCCCTAACTATCCCTTCCCTCCACCCGGGAACCATAAGTTCTTTCTTTAAGCCTGTGTGTCCGTTTCTGTTTTGTAAATATGCTCATTCATATCATTTCTTTTTAGATTCCACATATAGGCGATCTCATAGGATATTTCTCTTTCTCTGTCTGACTTACTTTACTCAGTATGACAATCTCTAGGTCCATCCATGTTGCTACAAATGGCATTGTTTCATTCTTTTTGATGGCTGAGTAATATTCCATTGTATATATGTACCACACCTTCTTTACCCATCCCTCTGTCAATGGACATTTATGTTGCTTCCATGTCTTGGCTATTGTAAACGGTGCTGCAATGAACATTGGGGTGCATGTATCCTATCAGACCATGCTTTTCTCTGGATATACTCCAAGGCTTACATTCTGATTTCGCTTAGCAATTAGCCATTTTAGTGATGCTTGCTTTATTTGTGAGGTGCCCTTTCACAAATGCAAATGAGCTGAGATTCTTTGTTTATCATCAGGGTTGTGTCTCTAATTAAAAAGTAATCATTAAATAGGGAGTATGGGAGAGTTTGCTCCATCTTAACTCATCTTGCCTTTAGGTGGTTGGAGAGTCTTAGCTCAGCATCATTGCTTTGTGCCAAAGCATTGTTGTATCAGCAGAAGAAAAAAAAAAACAAAACCCTGAGATGCCAAGGCAAAAGTTAATAGCTGTGCATTCTAGCTTTACCAATGACAGAAGACAGGATATAGACACCCAACTTGCTTTGTTTCACCCCTGCTGTCACACTCCAAACACACAGTGAAGACAAAACCTGGTTACTCTGAACCTCGTTCTCCCGGTCTGAACAAACGCACAAGGCAGCCTGAATCCCCTTCACAAACTGGGGTCCTTCTAGGGCTTCTGTGCATCTGCAAACCAAGCCAAATCCTTAACCAACCTTTGGCCCCTAGTAGGTAGGCAACCTATTCTCAAATCCTTCTGAGTGCTTTTTATGCAGGCTAGAGAGCTTCTTATTCATAAAGTCGTATAATTTTCCCCAAAGTAATGGAAAACATGAATATAGCATTTTATTCTACGTGCTGGGGTTTTGTACAATGGGACAGCTCTTTCTCTTTCCTCCGATCTCTCTTTCTCTCTCTCAGAAAGTCCAAGGAACTCATGACCCAGTGCAGAAGCACATACACCAACCACACTGAACGCCCCGAACGTCAGATTTGCTCCACCTTTTCCTCTGTGCAGCGACATATTGCCCCTCACAACCTGGCCTGTGTGACCTTCACACCCATGGTCAGCCTGTCACCCTCTGGACAGCAACAACGTGAAAAGTCATTTTATTTCACTAAGTGACATAGGTGGAGGGGAAATGACATAAAATTACAATGTTTTCTGCCCCTCCCATTAATATTTAGCTTTCTTCCTCATTTTAGAAAGAATAAAAATGATATGAGAACCCCTTTCATTTTGACTGTTTCTCTGATTACAAAATAACATGTGTTGTGAGAAGTTCAAATAATACAGGTCTAGGAAGTGAAAGTTTCTCCAGAATCACTCCCTACCGCCCCACCACCACTGCTTAGAGCTAACCACTAGAGATGTTTCCTGTATTTGCAGCCAGATTTTTTCTATGTAAGTTCTAATGTACAGACTGATTAATATTCATTGAAATAAAATAATATTATGCTCACTGCTCTGTCATTTGTTCTCTTCGCTCAACAATACTTTTTAGCAGTCTTTTCCATGCTAAGACATACAGGTTATTCTTTTAAAAAAAATTTTGTTTTATTGAGGTGAAATTCACATAATGTAAAATTAAGCATTTTAAAGTGAACGATTCAGTAGCATTGAGTACATTCAAAATGTCGTGCAACCATCACCTGTATCTAGTAACTTCGTTCTTTTTAATGGCCGTAGAGAGGTTTACTGCATGGATCTGCTATAATTTATATAGCCAGGCCTTTTAGCTTTTCCCAATTTTATTCTATTCCAAGAACTGTTGTCCTACTTGTATGTACATTTTTGCACATTTGTGGAAATGTTATGATAGGACCACTTCCCAAAAGAGAAATGTCAAGGTCAAAAGTTAAACCAACTTCAAGTTTTGACACATTCTGAAAAATTCCTTCCAAAATGACAACACCAATTTCCATTTAGGAACAGCTCCCTTAAAAGTGACAAGAGTGGACACCCCTAGGGGCTTCTTTCTGTCTCCTCTTCCCATGTCTCTTGGTTCTCGGGTCCAGCTCGTGAGTAATGAACTTACTTTTTCTGGTTTGGAAGCTGTATCAAACTCCCTAGGGCTGCAGTGACAAAATATCACAAACTGGGTGAGTTCAAAAAACAAAAATTTATTCTTTCACAGTGTTGGAGGCTAGAAGTCCAAAATCAAGGGGTCAGCAGGGCCATCTCCCTCTGAAGTGTCTCTGGGAAGTCCTTCCTGTCTTCATCCTTCTCGTGGCTCCCTGCAATCCTCGGCATTCCTTGCTTGTGGCAGCATAACTGCGATTTCCACTTCCAGCTTCACATGGCCTTCCTCCCTATGTGTGTGGGTCTCTCCTCTTCTTAAAAGGACACTAGTCATTGTATTTAAGGCCCAACCTAATCCAATATGACCTCATCTTAACTGATTACATCTGCAGAGACCCTGTTTCCAAATAAGGTCACATTCTGAGGGAGGCTATTCAATCCACTCCAGGATCATTAGGTAAATCTGGAATTTTAAGGACTTAAAATAGAAAATAACTTATAGCATGATTCCATTTAGGTTAACAACAGGCAGTTTAAAGCCTAAAGAGAATTCTGTTTTCAACTCCCAGGTTAATGCAGGTTAGTATCTTAATTCAAATTTGATATGTTCCTGAAGGCTTGTACAAAAGTCAACGGTGCAAAAAATGAACAATAATAGACTTACATATTAAAGCCAAAAAATATTCTAGAATCCCTGTTTATACCTTGCCTTTTTTTCCCAATAAACGTAAGCTTATTGGTTCGATCCTTTAATCATTTATTCAACACATAGTTACTACGTGCAATGTTCTGCTCCAAGCACTAGAAATACAGCAATGAGCAAAACAAAACCCCTGCCTACATGGAGTGTAGTTTACCTACTACAACTACTAGTATAGTTCACAGTACTGAGCATTTGGCCAGGTAGCAGTTTCAAAAATAAAGAAAATGGGTAACATGAGGTGTGGTCATCTACATACACTGGCATTAACAGTTCATCCTGTCCTGGGAGAAGCAAAAGAAATGAGACATAGGGAAGAGCAGACAGTAGAGGGTCTCAGTGCTAAGCCACAGAGTTTGAATTTCATTCTGTAGTAGATAAGAGTCATCAAAGTGTGTTTTAATGGCAGGGAAGGAGGAAAGGTTGTATTAAACAGTTCAATAGAAAGTATGTTAGTATTATGTTAAACTCGTCAGTCACTTAGGTTCTGGGCTTCAGTGTGATAGTCTTTATCATTGCCCTCTGAAATGCTATTATGTAAATTAATTAACCACTCCTTAGTTTTCTTTATTCCCTTAAATCATTGTTTGTTTGTTTGTTTTGTTTTGTTTTGTTTTTCGGTACGCGGGCCTCTCACTGTTGTGGCCTCTCCCGTTGTGGAGCACAGGCTCCGTACGTGCAGGCTCAGCGGCCATGGCTCACGGGCCTAGCCGCTCCGCGGCATGTGGGATCTTCCCGGACCGGGGCACGAACCCATGTCCTCTGCATCGGCAGGCGGACTCTCAACTACTGCACCACCAGGGAAGCCATGTTTTTTTGTTTTTTGAATTTTATTTTATTTATTTATTTTTTATACAGCAGGTTCTTATTAGTTGTCTATTTTATACATATTAGTGTATATATGTCAACCCCAATCTCCCAATTCATCCCACCACCACCATCACCACCCCCGCTTTCCCCCCTTGGTGTCCATACGTTTGTTCTCTACATCTGTGTCTCTATTTCTGCCTTGCAAACTGGTTCATCTATCCCATTTTTCTAGATTCCACATATATGTATTAATATACGATATTTGTTTTTCTCTTTCTGGCTTACTTCACTCTGTATGACAGTCTCCAGGTGTATACCTTGCCTTTTAAAGATAACAAGAAAGAAAGGAGGAAGGAAGGAAGGAAGGAAGGAAGGAAGGGGAAAGGAAAGGAGGAAGGAAGAAAGGAAGAAAGGATGGAAGGAAGGAAGGAAGGAAGAAAGGAAGGAAGGAAGGAAGGGAGATTTAAATGGAACTTTCAATGATGTGTTTCTAGTATTTTGTACAGTCCTCACTTTTGTTCTTTTCCAAACCAAATGAAAATAAGACAACCAGCTTAAATTCAGTAACTGTCTAATTGAAGCTAAAGATTTGCTACTTTCACTTATGATTTACATCTTTGTCTTAAATTCTTTGATTTTAGGACTGTGCTCTTATAACTACTTTCAGCACTTCCTTTTTCTGTTTTCACTAATTTTGTGGAACAAGAAGATAAAAATATAATTAAAAATTTCATATATCCTCTATAGAGCACACGCACTTCTATATAGAGAAAGGCAGTGATGCAAATTGGAATTATCTGTTGACAGATATTGTTGCAGGGGTATAGCCTGGAATAGCAGTCTATCAGGAAATTCATGAAAGTTCAAATTCATTGTAGAACGGAAAGATGTAATGTGGACACATAATGTCACTTCATTTCTCAGTGAAGTTTCATCTCCCTGACTGTTATATATGTGAAAAGTTTTAAAGACCAAGTTGCAGAGCTCAAAGTGTCAAACAAATAATAAGCAATACCAGACCCCTTTGATTCTATTAACTGTGTGTAAGAGTCAGGATAAGTGAAGTTATGCTGCAGGAACAAACAGCCCCTAAAATCTTAGTAGCATAAAGCAATAAATATTTATTCACTCGCACTACATTGTCCATCAGGGATCACCATGGAGTCTGTTCCAGGACTCAGACTGGTGAAGCAGCTGCTTTCTAGAACATTGCTCAGACTCATGGCAAAGAGAAATGGCATCCTGGAGGCTCTCATACAACCAAACATGACACATGTCACTTCTGCTCACAACTCATAGGCCAGACCTGGCCCACCTAACAACAAGGGAGTCCAGAAACCAGAAATATTTTTTAAATAACACCAATAACTACTGTGTGTGTGTGTGTGTGTGTGTGTGTGTGTGTGTGTGTATGTGTGTTTTGGGGGTGGATCTTATATTTGTGTGCATTTATCCTATAATATACTAAGATATTTTCTGTTTCTTTTGTGAACAGGAAGAGTGATCCCGTCCCAGGAATGACCACTCCTGAAAAATTGTACTCAAAGGTCATGCAGACTCTGCAGTATCTAGATTCTCACCTGCCAAATGGCAGCAATGTTATTTTATACGGCTTACCAGATGGAACCTTTCTCTGGGATAATTTGCACAGCAGATATCATCCTCTCGGTATCAGTTTGAAGATGTTTTTACTCCTTAACAATGTCAATGTATTCGTAGTTCAAATATATGTAGTTCAAACCATATAGGAATACACCTAAAATGCCACCAGAACGATGAAGGGAAGAGCACCCAGGTACAGGATCTAAAAGGTCAGTATCCAAAGGTGGCCAGAACCAGATCCAAAGTCAGAAAGGGCAGATGTATTTGGCAAAGAATTAGGACAAACTGAAAGGTAAGAGTTTAAAACTCCTTCACTGAAGGTGAAATCTAGAAGGAGCCAGTGAAGCCCAAACAAGAGATAGGAAGGAGACAAAGGGAAGGATTTCTCCAAACCTCAGTGGTGAGTGCCCCCTAGTGGCCAGGATTCTAATGACGTCTGTGCACCCTGGTGGCCAGTTAGAGCTCTGTAGAACTGGGTCCTCCAGAGGTCTTGCTCCCTGCTTCTACACTCTCTTGGAGTCCTTGGCTCTGAAATGCTTTAAAGTTCCAAGAAATTTCTAATAGAATCTCTAGCATGCCAGATGCTTCACAAACATTGTGAAAGTAGTAGTAATTCACCTTGGGAAGGGCTGCCATGCTGATCCTTAAAACAATTCTGTGAGATAAATGTTTCTATTAATTCCATTTGATAGATGAAAAAACTAAGGCTCAGAGAAGTTGTGTAGCTTGCCAAATGTTGCACAGCTTATTGTATATGCAAGCTGGGTGTAGCAGGGCTCTCTTTCTGTGTTTCAGGGAAGAATGTCCTTCCAAAAATACTTATCATATGCCAGGCACTGTTCTAGGCACTGTGTAACCATCAGTGAACATAATAGTCAAAAATCTCTGCCAACATAGGCTTATGTTACAGTGGGAGAAAGACTCCAAAAGTCAGAGGATGATAAGTGTTACTACAGAAAATTAAGCAGGGAGGGAGGATGGGCAGTGCTGGCCTCAGGCCTCTCTGACAGGCATCTACAAGGAGGGGCCTGGGGACCACCCCCTCAGCCCCATATCGACAGCACCTGTGCCAGTCTCTCATGGAAAGGGGCTGCCCTTTCCCTGGTATTGCCATAGCCACCTCCTTAGACCAACCCAAGCGACAGTGCCCAGGTGCTACAGTGTCCTGGAGGTCCAATCAGTTCCTTATGAGTCAGGTGAGCAGTTCAGAGGGGGAAGACCTGAAACTCCTTCCTTTGCGCCCTCCTTAGTGGGTAGAGGTGGAGAGCTTTCCCTTGCATACATAACATCCTTGTGTCTTTTCAATCCCCTCTTGTCCTCCTCCTGTAGTTCCTGTTTAAGCCAACCTCCTTACCAGCTCCCGCAGGAAGTTCTACACCGCCCCACATAAGAGCAGGGACCCTTTAACCAGCTCTCAAAGGGCTCTGACCCCTTCACTACGGTCCCTTCACTGGACAACAATGGAACACGTCCACATTCCAGGCTCCCCACCGATGCGACTGAAGTCATTTTCCTCATCAATTATGAAATGTGCCACAAATGTTATTATTCCAAGGAAACACTGTCCAGCCTCTCATGAGGAACGCATGTTCCTCCTATTCACATGGCTTTGACCACGCCCTTTAGAAATGATAACATGATCACACAGTGAACTTGACTCCATTCTGGGCTGCCTTGGACATGTGAAGGACAACCACTTGGGCTGATCATGTCTCTTTGAGCCATTTGGGGATGAAAAGTTCAGTTCCCCCAACAGATGTTCTCAGACTCCTAGATTTCTCCCATGCTAAGAAATGCTTGGGGAAGGGGAGTTGGGAGTAGGGGAGATGTGCTCCCAATTTACTGTCACACCAATAGGGACTTGACTTTGGGTTTTCTGACTTTAAACCCCATTCCCTTCCCATGAACTGCAGTTAGACTGCCTCCATAAATTTTCTCAGATATGCCAGGCCGTTCCCTTGACTCAACCATAGTATGTAAAAATGACTCCACGTAATTTGGAAGAGAGCAAGGGAAGGAAAAGGGTGATCGATCAGGGGACTCATCAATCACTTGGTGGATTCTCTTGGCCGGTGGTTCTCATCAAGGGGCAACCCACCCACCCATTATCATATCACCCCTGGAGATGGAGTGCTACTAGCATCCAAGGGGTAGAATCCAGGAATGTTCCTAAACATCCTACAATGCACAGGACAGCCCCCTACGACTGAGAATGTCGACAGCACCAAGGTTGAGAAACCCTGCTCTAGGCTTTGCGTTATCCTCAGATGGCCTCCCTCCAGCCGCTGATCTAGACTAGCACTTCACAGCACGAGAGCAATAGGTGGAACAAGTGTGTTCTATATAAACAACTCTAGTTTGGGGGTAGGGGGAGTCCAATGAGGGAGAAAGTTATAACCACCTAAAATTTGTTGAATGTTTTTCAGTTATTATTCACATCCTAAATTATCCCTGCTGCCTGGTTGCCATGAGAAATAAATCATAAATTCCTCAACGAAGCATCAGGGTCCTTCCTAAACAGACTGGGGAAGTAGGTGGGATTTACCCAGCGTCCTCATTCGTCCCCTGGCAGGCTCCTAACTCACATAAGGTGAGAAGCTTGAACAGGGGGCTGCTGCCCTCTCATTGCCTCCGTTCTGCCCTGCTCCACATCCAGTCTTTGAATCTTCGTTCCCACAGACAGGAACCGGCCGTGAAGCAGGTTAATGCTAGCTCAGCCTCAGGGCTTGGTTGCTTTGCCCAGGTTAAGGTGGATCTCATCTTAATCAACAGCCACACACCTGAGTCTGGTTCCTGGGGCACTGTGCTAAGGGTGGGGCAAGCAAATAAAAGGGGGTTTCCATTTATTCTGCCTTTGAGCCAAGAAACATGATGATGATAATCTGTAGACTTGACTTTAGCCACCCCTTAAGGATTAAGAAAGAGGCCGGGAGCAAAAGGGGTCAGGGGAGAAGCCCTGCGTCAGTGATGACATTCTCTGCTGCCTCGGTAAACAGGTGGGAATTCAGCCTGACTATTCAGGAAAGAGAAGGTTAAATGCCACAGCATCAGGTGTGCAGGTAGTGGAGGCCCAGAACAAGAATGGGTGTCTTGCTGACTCCTGCTGGGGAGGAAGGGGCTAACATCATTCCTCTTAGCCTTGTCTGTGAGTCACGACCCAGTCACTGCCTGACCGCCAAGGGCTGTGACAGCCCCACAGGCTCTACCAGCAGTTAAAATTCCTGGTGAGAATGTCTTGTCTTTTTGAGGAATTACCAGAAAGTAAGTCTCACACATTAGGATTATACATTCATAGATCTTTCAAGTAAGTTTATGTTTGATCAGGGATGAGTCCTCTCAGGCGCAGTCTATAAGGAAGGCAATCTTTCCATTAATATGTCTGAGCTAACGATTATGTGCTTTGAGGGTAAAAATGATGCAAAGATGAAGTCCTTGTCCTCTAAGGAAAGGACAAATAGTATATAGATCCTGACAGTGAAATTAACGAGGGCCAACGACGCCTCTCTAAGCCATATGCATTCAGGGAGCTATCCAAAGGGTTAGACTATGATCAGGAAGTCTGGGAGTGCTGGCTGCAAATAAGTCTACGAGTCAGCCTTCTTTGAAGGGCCTCTGCCACAAAATAGCCGCAAAAACTCCGTTTTGTCCCAATTACTCTTAAACTTGAAACCTAATGTATTTTAAAATACCTTGTAGCATACCTTCAGTTTTATTACTGGCTTCCTTCCTGTCTAAATTAACGTGGTTTTACCAAGGTTTAACACACTCAGATGGTATTTCATGAAGGTGTGCCTGATCTCTGTTAGCACTAAGCTCTTACGGTAGCTAAAATTTCAACTGTGGTCCCAGTGTTAAATAAATGCCAAAGACTCTGCCCTGAAAAACATACACATGACTGAGACTCGAGCTGCTACTATAGGAGCTGGGGTAGATCCCTTTGATCTTCAGAGGGAGCATATGGTATCAACTGGGCCAACCCACAGGCTCCCATCCCTTACACACACACACACTGATGGTTCCTGGCCACTGTGGGACAGCCCTCTGCCCCTGTCCTGGGCAGTCATGACCACCTGTCTTCACCAGACTCACTTTCTAACCAGGGATTCACAGACACCACCTCTTTGCACGTAGGTACAACATGTAGGTAGGATGAGTCTTTATACCAGGGCTTCTCGATATGGAAGAATACCATTAAAGTAACAAGGATAAAAAGTCATACATAAAAAGAAAGAGCGAATAACTGACAGTTCCAATCAGTGGAGAAAAGCATAAGAACCGTTTTCCCTCTTCGTCATAAACCCATCACAGGCACTCCCAGCCAACCTTCCACACGACCAGCCCCAGGGACACGCTGACCTTTAATAGGCAGGAATACCAGAGAGAAGGGAAACCAACCCATTATACCTTCCCCAGTTTTCTTCTAACTACAGCTAATGTGTGCTTATCCTGTCCACAGACCCACCTACTCACCTAAGAATTTCCCCTCCATCAACCTGGTCCAATTAGAGCCAGTGCCAGAATAGCAAGGACATGAAGGGGAGGGAACAGGGATTGGTCCAGAAGGAGGATATGCCTTGTGGTCTCATCCTAACGTGTTCCGGGACCTCAGCAGTAAGACAGTAGGAAGAGGGGAGTAAGCTGGGATGCAACGAGGCTACGGCTCAGCTCAGCCCCCAAAGGGGAGCCAGCAGATGAGCTTCCAGTATCCAGGGGCAGGATAAACTCCAGTCCCCCTGGATATCAGAGCAGTCCAGTCTTGCAGGTGGGGAGGGAGAGGGTGCAGGAGTGGTATTTACAGTCAGGCATGAGGTACCACCTCCAGCAGGTTGAAGACACTTCATCCACTGGGCAGGGAAAAGAGAGAGGCCACCAGGTGAGAGTCAGGGCCAAGCAGGGCGTCAGGGCCCCAGCCAAGCTCCCTAAGGTTTATTACAAGGCCCCCCCGTCCCAACAAAGAAACAAGATGGCAGAGGGAAGGCTGCCGCTCAGCAGGGGGCGAGGGCCAAGTCCTCTGGGCAAGTGGAGGATTGAGGGTGGGGAACGCAGGTTGAAGGTGTCAGTCACTGCAGCTGGGCTGGACTGAGACAGGCAGGGACACATACAAAAAGGAGGTAAATTACAAAAGCACACACCAAAAAAAAAAAAAAAAAATAGAGGGAAAGCAGCCTCTGTGATGGAAAGCAGGATCTTGGAGAAAGATGGATCATGGAGCTCAGAGCTCCATGTGGAGCCCATAAAATGAAAGTGAAGACAGAAGCCAGTGGCTTGGGATTCATCTAAAATGTGAAAATGCAGCCACCTTTGGAGCGCAGAGAAGACCCAGCATGTCACTGTGACTTTAATGGCGATAATGAGCCTGTGGTTTTCCAGTCCTGGGATTCACTCACCCACACAGAGAGAGAATATATTTTTCCTGTATGACAAGAAAATTGAATCTATCTTTCAGTCTAACTGATCTGAGGTATAAGTAAAAAATAAGACTGTGTTCTATCACCTTCAATCTTTCTCTTCGCTCCGAGATAGGCCCTATTATTTTCCTTTATTTTTTCAAGCATGAGGGAAGTGTTAATGGATAAGACATCGGCCATTCACCCCCGAGATTTGGGAGAACCTGGATTTTGTGTCTCAGCCACAGTATGAAACTTGAATTGCCTGGGTTCGGGGGCGGGACGCACAGTGCGGTAGAAGGGGCAGTGGTGGGAGGCGAGAAGAGAGAATAAATAACGCCCCCAGATTCTGGGTCCACAGCTGATATTTGGAAAGGCTCTGCATGAACTCACATTTGGCGTTTACCACTTCATGCGTGTGTACTTCTTTAACCTGCACCAAAAAATAGAGCCTATCTACTAATGACGGCTCAAATAAGATAACCGCTGGGCCATGAACGAACATGCCAGCCTCCCCAGTCCGATAGCCACACAAGCACTTGTGGAAAACTTCAGTTCAGCAAACTGCAGGACAGTGCGTGGTCAGACCTTCAGACCCTCCAGAGTCCTGCCAGGTCCTCAGCATGGGATGATCGGGTCAGATCTGAGTGTTTCATAAACACAAAAGGAGGAGGATTTGGTCAACTTCCACCTTCCATGCTCCCTGGACCCCACAGGGACTTGACGTTTCATACCATTGCCAGGAGAAAGCCACTACTCTGCCAGTCCTTTGTTAGTGGTGTTCTGGTCCATACGGTGCCCTGAATCCCTCTACCTGGGGTCCAGATAAGGTCAGGCCCCTCACACCCTGCCCTAGCCCATGTGAAGAGCTCAAGAGAGGAGTAAACTCCTTGGGGCCGCTCCCCAACCCCAGGTCTGAATTTCTAGGGGGCTCAGAAAGAAGGAAAGCACAGGCATCTTCAAGAGCAACGCTAAATGCATAGGCAGGGCAGGTCCCTGGAGGCGCCAGCCTTCTGCCAGAGAGGCAGGCTCACCCACCAGGGTCCCTAGGCGGCTGCTCTATCTGAGTGAATGCAACATGCCGGACCTCTCTGTTTTCCAGGCCAGCTGAACAAGGACGTGACCTACGCGCATCTCTACTCCTTCCTGAGCTGTCTCCAGGTGAGCTCACACTGACTTGTTCCAAAGCTATGTTCCCACAACCAGCACTGTTCTTCTGTAATCAGTGTTTTCCTGCTCTCAGGTCAGCCCCTGCCACGGCTGGATGTCTTCCAATAAAACGCTCCGGACTCTCACTTCAGAGGTAGGGCTGTCGCATGCCCTTTGATACTGTCTTTGATCATTCTCTCCCTGTGTTTGCTGCAGGGTTTTCACTGGGGCTGGGATTTTGGCAGGGTGATGGCCTCCAAACTGGTGAATAAAAGAAACAAACTCCCGGATGCTTGAGGAGTCAGGAGAATGCGGGGTGCCCTGTCTCCCTCCTTCTGCCTCGCTGAGTCTGTAGTTCTTGCTGGGTTTCTCGATCACTGTCTCTATGTGTGCCTGTCTCTCTTGTACACACACATGCGTGTACACGCACAAACACACACATGCCTTTGAAAGCTGGTCCTAGGCATATTTGTAGAGTCAGAGAAGTGATGAAGGTTAGGTGTACGCAGGGCTGGAATTCTCCCAAGGTAGGGGAGGACCAGCTGCCCCAGAGCCTTCCTTTCTTCTCTGAGAAAGTTTTCCACATTTCTTTCACAGATGGTAAATAATTTCTTTGTAAGGAATTTAGTAAACATTTTTTACAAGGGAAATATATTTCAATTTTTAAAAAACCTTAGAAAATGTAAAAAATACAAAAAAAAATAACAAAAGTCACTCAAAATCCCACCACCCAAAATTAATATATATGTATGTCTTTCCAAAATTATTTTCATAGATAGTTATTTTGGGGTTTTTGCCTACATAGTATCAGAACACACATATTGTTTTGTGCCTTCTGATGTTCATAATCATTCCTCCACATCATAATTTTTTTTTTTTTTTTTTTTTTGTGGTACACGGGCCTCCCACTGTTGTGGCCTCTCCCGTTGCGAAGCACAGGCTCCGGACGCGCAGGCTCAGCGGCCATGGCTCACGGGCCCAGCCGCTCCGTGGCATGTGGCATCTTCCCTGATCGGGGCACAAACCCGTGTCCCTTGCATCGGCAGGCGGACTCTCAACCGCTGCGCCACCAGGGAAGCCCTCCACATTAGAATTTTGTAATCATTTTAGAAAATAGAGCATATGAATATACCATGATTTATTTCATCCCTTGGTGGTGGACATATGGATTGTTTCTAATTTTCCACTATGATAAACAGCGTTGTGATGAACCTTTGTATATATGAAGATGTATGTCTTTGTGTACCATGTCTATTTCCTTAAGACAAATTCCTAGGAAATTATTGGGTCAAAGAGTACGTCATGTTTAACGATTTGATCCCTATCACCAAATTGCTCTCTAGAAAGGTTAAACAAATTGACATTCTCAATCACATATCCCATGGCAATACTCTTTATTATCATGGTTGTTCATCTTTCCTTTGCCAAACCCATGGGGAGAAAGTGGTATCTTAATACTTTAATTTGCACTGATTTTGTTCCTAATAATTTTAACAGTTTTGTATGCTCGTTGGTCATTTGTGCATGAATGAAATTTAATATGCAGAGCGGCTGTCTGCTGGTGACTTGCAGTCGGGGTGGGGTGGGGACTATTGATTTCTTTGTTCTGCCTGAATTGTCTCCCTAAAGCCCAAGTCTAGGTTTCATGAAATTCTCCTTGTTTCCTTTGTATTCAGAGAGCAGAACAACTCTCCAATATGCTGAAAAAAATTGCAACCAGCCAGAAATTTACGAACTTCAATCTTTTCTACATGGATTTTGACTTCCAAGAAAGTAAGTTTTGCTTGGGTTAGGTATTGACACGAAACAGAAGCAGCAGCTACCATCTAGAGCCTATCTGGGCAAGACGTTTGTTTACAAGCCAACAGGCAGTATATTGGGCAGGGTCGCTTCTCCCCATTCTGACACATTAATAGCTCTGAGTATTGAAAAAAGATAAAGTGTGAGACTCTTTCTGGAAAGGTGGAAGCTTAGCATCACCTCCTTACTTCACCATTATTTTAGAATCCCTGAAGCAATAGAGCCAGTGACCAGCTGGAAACAGCTTTGGGCTGGGAGCCAACAGGTCAGTGGAATCATCTAACTTACTCTTGACAGTTTAGCAATGCCCTGCTTACGGCTGGGCTAAAGATGAGTGTGCCAGGAATGAGGGGTAAGGCAGTGCCTCTCCTTGGGGCCACTGGATTACCTAAGGACTCAAAACAAGGCGGATTCCCAGACCTCACACATGATGAAACTAATGAGTCTCAAAGGGAGGACTTCAGATGCCTATGGCAAAGTGGACAAACCATATCCCAGCTTTCTGGAAAGAACATTACTGCTGCTTTTCTAGCATTCTATCCAAACATTGGGGTCACTGATGAGTGGCCACAAGAAAACAGGCATGATTACTAGATTTATCCTTTACATCTTGACTCTGAAAAATTATTATCTATTGACTTTAATCCTTCCAGTCCCCTTTTCATTGCTAAGCAACTGTTATGCAAGAGAAAAGTCTCTGTTGATCGTCTGCCAGCTGAGATGATGCTAATGAAAAGCTTTGCAGTGTATGCAAAGAGTGGACGATTTCTCATACGGAGTTTATCATCTCTATCTCCCCACCACCAACTCCCCCAGCCCAAGCATCTGGGATGAGACAGATGGCCGTCATGAATTATCAAATATTACATTAGCTGACACGTTTTGCATTGTAGACTCTAGTACTTCAATTTGAACATCTTTTCAACAAGACTGATCTCCGTTAACTAGATTTCCTGCCTCGGTGATATATACTTCTCTCATGGGGAGAGACATTTTGATAAATAACCTGTCATTAAAATGCAGAGTTAAAGCCTCATTAATGAATTCCTGGTGTAAACAAATGCACCACCAAGTACTCTTTGATCATCACCCACCCTGAATATAGATAAAGTTTTTAAAAATATAATATTGCCTAGTATTCACTAGAGACTTTTTCATTTTCCACAGTAATCTCTAGCTCTGTCATTTATTATCTTTGGGACTGTTGGCGATTCCTTGACCATTTCTAAACCCTCCCTTCCAGACCTGGAAATGGAGACACTATATCCACATAAGAAGTCTTTGTGATGATTATGTAAAATAATGTGTAATCCTCCCAAATGCCATGCCTGGTACATAGCCAGCACCCAGGAAAGAGCACCGTTCCCTCACACCCTTGCCACTCAATACATAGCTCAAAATGAGCAACATCTATACACCTGGGGACTGGTTATAAATGCAGAGCCCCAGGCCCCACTCCTAATTAGGACATACCTAATCAGAGTCTGCATCTGTACATAATCCAGAGATGATCTATTAAAATTAAAACACACGTTAAAATTTAATAAATGGGGCTCCTGTAATGCTCCAAGATTAAGAACTTAGCCATTTAGTCATCAGATTTTTACTAAGCCCTCCTGTGTGCTGCATAGCTGCTGGGAATATAGTTGTTAACAAAACAGAACAGTCCTCTCTTCATGAAAGATACAGGGAAAAGAGCTTTCTCCTGGACCCCCATACTGGCCAGCATTCCACATGCTTGGAAACAGAGGTTCCTCAGCACGTTCTTATCCTCAGAGCAACAATAAATGCAATAAAAAAGCAAGAAGTTCAGTTAACCTGAACACTCTACATCAGCATGACAGTTGGTCGCCTTACTGAGACACCTCCTAGGTATCGCTCCTCGTTTGGTACTTCTCGTCAGCAGTTCAAGGAATTTGCTGACACTTTGTAATTCCCTGACGTTTCTTAAAAACGAAGGTCCAGTTTTGGTCCAGGGCCTTCTTCGCCTTCTCCACATGAAGTTAGTCTCCACTAGAGAAGATAGGGTGGGAGGGGGAGTGGAGGCAGAGGAAATGGTACTCTGGGATCTGCCTCCAGAAACATCCGATACAGCATTATGCATTTAATGGCTACGTGCTATCACGTGTGCTTCTGAGAGAGCTGGCGTTTTTATCTAGTTTTCAAGAACTGTGGTAAAGTCTTAACTTACACCCAATGTTAGACTACTGCAAAGGGCATGCCTACCTTGAGATTCTAGCATTTTCCAGAGTAGGCAGAGGGTGCATCCACTCCCAGATCCATCTCTGTGGATAAGCTCCCCCACCTGGGCAGCTCATCACCCTGGAAATCTGGCCTAACTCATGTAGGTGAAAATGTTATTATACAAAGAGCCCACAATTTACAACCAGATAGACCTGTATTCCTATCTCAACTCAGACATAGAATAGCTGTGTAACCTCGAGCAAATGAAATAACCGTTGAAGATTAGTTTCCTTTTGTGCCCGGTAGCAGTAACTAAACCGTGGGCTCTATGTAAGGGTAGAGACAGTGCTTGTCATGTAGTAAGGACTCTGATACCTGTTAGCTGACACCCTCCCATCACCACCACCATCACTGTATGTAAAGCACCTACTACCTTCTTCCAGGGCTTATGATAGATGGATAATAAATGTTTATTCTTTTTCAATGTCTAACCCTCCCCATCACCAACTGAGCCTGTGCATCACTTTGAGTTCCTCACAGGAAGCTATGCTAGAAATGCATCTCCTTATCACAGTTTCCTTTTATCAGAAATTAAAAACCCTATAGAGTCACTGATTAAATCTGCAGTCTCACTAGTCACATGAAAATCTCTGCTCTCATTTCTATACTGTATTTGAGCTATTGCATCACAAATATCACTTTTCATATGAGATTTACAATTTTATACCCTGTGACAGAGCAAATGACAGTTGAGGGTCCCTGTCCCTTGAGAGTAGACGCGAGACCTATCTGTTCTCTACTCTGACAGCCTCAGTCCAGCACCAAGAGATGACTGCTCACCTCAGAGACTCTTTTTTCTCTTGCTGACTCATCCTCCAACTGGTTATGAGCTAAACAGAGGCAGCAATTTTTTTTCCCTTCAGGAAATGCCAGCTTGAGCAGGTTATATCCTTTTTCTTCATCTCCACCACACCTCCCATACAGAGGAAGGAGCATGCCACTTGGCTGACAAGGCCATTTTTTCACTGACACTTTACATATACCACCAGCTCCCCCCAGCTTCTAAGACAACTCAGTTAGAGTTTTGGTTCTTAGCTCCCCTCCCCTCAAGTGTACGTTTGTCAAAATGACCAGTGACTTCATAGTGCTGACCAGAATTCAGATTTCTCTTTTTAAATATCTGCTAATCATCAAGGAGCTACCAAATGTTCTACGAAACTCCTGTGATTTCTATTGCATCTCTGAAAAACTGGTCATTAGCAGAGCTTCTTTGACTTTACAAATAAAGGAAGTACATTACGTACCAAATCCAAAGAGATCACTCACGATCTTTCAAGAGCTTTAATTCAAGTGTTCCAAAGAACAAACGGCGATTTGCCTATTTTTAATTATGGCCCCAGGCAGGAAGGGAGCTGACCAATCTACCATAATAACCTGCTTGGACCACCCAGTCTAAATCAGGGAAGAAGTAGAGACCACTGTCTGGTATTGCATTTATTCTAAGAAAGCAAAATTTCACCCTGAGATAATCAAACTAAAAAGGGTCACTCTGTCTAGCACTCGTCATAATACAGGTAAGACCTTAAACTCTTGCCTGTGAGTTACTGACTCTTCCTGTAAGTGTTATAATTCTTATGTCTACAGATATTCAGTGACTGGTAAGCCTCAGAGACACAATAATCATATGAGAAAATATCCTACGTTATGGGATCAAACCTTCAAGGGGAGTAGAAGGAATCACCATTCCTTCTCACTTTGAAAAATAGTCACTAATTCTGATGACTAAGTTATGTCCATCTGTTCCATGAAGTATAATATCTATCACCACCTCTCCCTTTCTCTAAGGGCCATAATTTTTAGTTTGGTAGTTAGTAATGCACATAAAATTCAAATCAAAATGGAAACAGCCTAGACTAACTTTAAGTCTCGTTAAGACTAGCATTGAATCACACTAGAGGAAACACGGGTATGAGAAAGTCTGGTGTTTTTAATATGGAGCTCTTAACAAACATTCCTCTCCAGGAACACGAGCTTGGCTTAAACCGTGTTTCATTTATAAGCTCAAATTTGCTTTCCACTGTCGATTTTCCAGATCTCCGGATCACTGTAATTCCTTTCTGAACATTCTCTTGGCCAGGGAAGGCACAAGTTTAGATTCAATTCGTTACTCAACCTTCTCGGCAAATGTGAAGAGTCTAAAAGTGTTATGAGGAACTTCCTAGCCCCGCTGGGTCAGAGGATGTGTGAGTGGTCCAGGTCAGGCCCACGGCTTGCTGTCTATCTCTTTAATACAACCCTTTCTCAGGTCTTGACTGGGCTTGGTTCCCATTGTCCAACAGGCCTGGGAATTACTTAACATCTGATTGAGATTTTCTTTCATTCTTTCTTTTCTTCCTCCTTTTAACATTTGTATAGCATAAGGTGAAACCAAACTGAAAATAAGGGAGAAGCAGGAGAAAGAATTGAAAAGTTCATTGAGGATTTACGTGAAGGAAGCGAGGTCACCTCTGAAGTCACAGAGGAGCTTAGGAGGCTGACATCTTGCCTGGGCTGGACCTTTCTGCATCAGTGTTGATTTCTGTATTAGACACCCTGTGGGGCTGCAAAGTAGAGATGAGACAAATAGTACAAAAGAACAAAAAGCGCTGAGGGGGCTCAGTGGGGGTGACATTGACTTTGTATTTGAAGAAACCCTTCCAATGCCTGGTGCTCCATTAAGGGTAATTGGTTGGATGTTCAGATTGGAAATGGCTCAGAGAGAGAATCAGCATAAAGTTAGAAAGTAGAACAGCAGGACCCAAAAAACAAGTAGGAAAGTGACCCATTGTCTCCCGACCAAGGGGGAGAAAGAAGAGTCTGAACCAAGCATGGGGAACGCATGACAGGTGAGCCAGGATGAGCAGGGCTGGGCTGGGGCAGCATGGTACACCCGGAAAGACAGGAGGGACCCACAGGTGCTTCAAAGTGTCAGACCCAGAGGGGAAGGGGAAGCACCCACAATTGAACCTGAAGCAGAAAATCCGGTTCCGAGGTCATGCCTAAAAAACAGGACAGCCAGGTAAACTGAAGCTAGAGCCAGGCAAGCTTCCCCAAGGCTCTGTCTTTCACGGGGTACCTAGGGCCAATGGCAGGAAACTGTGAGGTCTGCAAGCTGGTTCAGCAGAAGGAATAAGGCTTCATAAGGGTTAGTGTGGTTTCAGTAGCATTGTAATTCTGAGCTTCCTATCAGAAGAGCAGATACATACCATTCCTTCAGAGAGATACACCGTTTACCAGCATGAAGCAATCTCTCCCTTGTGACCACAAGTGGAGGACACAGTGGACAATATCCTTGATTGGAGATTCACAAGAAATGCAAAGGCCACTTTCCATTAGCTGCTGCTTCTAGCAACCTCCAGTAAAACCCAGGCATAAAGCATAAGAGAGTGGCTCAGTGGCGGCCGTTCTGGCAGGGACAAAGCCAACAGGAATTGGTGATCCAGTATAGGACTCCAAATCACCAGCAGGAATTGTTTCCTGTGCTCTGAGAAGGACAGCAGTATTTAAAGCCCCTCTGGGGACAAGAATTGGGTAGCAAGTGTGGACGGCCTGGCGTGATATTAGGACTAATTACGAAAGCAGAATAGTATTGATCCAGCTCTGGGAAAGTCCAGCTTCTCTCATCCAGTTAAAGCCCCTAATAGCATTTCCATTCCTTCCCTTGGGGCAAAAGAGAGGTAAACAAAGAGGGCAAGAGGGAACATATCCCTGCCCTTGAGTTTCTGTGAAGTGAAGAGGAAAGAACTAGAGGAATCTCAGCTGTGCCGGCTCCCCTCTCTGGACACCAGGGAAATGAGGACATGGGCTACACTGGGAGTGGTAGGTTTCACATTTTTCTCTCTGGAGGCTGTCTAGGGACTTGAAGTTTCCTTGAGGAGTTCTTCTTGACGGTATGATATTATAATGTAGAGTTCGTTATGCCTTTGCCTTGGAGCAACTGACATTCCTGGTCTCACCCCTGTTGAAGGACAGTTTTATTGCTGTTCATCATTTTGGGGCTCATAACGTTTTCTCTGTAGCCATACTCACTCTAAATGTGATGTCCAGATCATTTTAGGTAATTATATTTCTGACAAACTGTGAGTTTTAATGATGATTGCTTGACATATGCAGGCAGTGTCTGGAAATGGCAGCCAATGAAAGGAGATGTTAACAAAATGCTTAATATTTTCCTCCTACCCCTGAAATTCTGTCCTCCTGGCCACTGAGAGATGAGATGGACTTAAATCGATGTCGAATATTTTCCAGCCCACCCTTCCCCACCACCCTCCTCACTCTACAAACCACATTCATCCAACACTCTCACACATTTGTCTTCCTGAGTTAGAGAAAAAATAGTGACACAATGGAAAGATTATTTCTGTTCAGAAAGCCCCCGGCAGAGGCAGACGTGGCTGGGTAAGCATGGGCCCAGGAGGAGCCTACTTCACAGCCCTTGCTCTTGGGTGTTAACTGTTGCTCAGGAAAGCATGTCTCTAACCCTCTGTGTGTGTATGTGTGTGTGTGTGCACGCCCCGCAGTCACGGAGGAGTGGCAGAAGAGCGGAGGGCAGCCCTGGCAGCTCATTGAACCCGTGGATGGATTCCACCCTAGTGAGGTAAGTGCAGTCACACGATGGCTGCTGAGGGCAGTCTGTTACGTTATCTTTGTAATATAATTATGCACACATGCATTCGTTTTTATCCTATTTTATACCAGAAAGAATTTGAGGTGATGTGCACACATGTGTAAGATAGAAGATAAATAAATATAAATTAAATTGATAAAATATAAATAAAATAATAAAGTGAAAATCAGAGTAAAAAGAAAATAAGGTAGAAATGATACCTGAATTCCTGACTTAATGTCTACAATTCACAACGTGTCCCAGGAAGTCCTAAGAAACAGCCTGCAAGGGCCCACAAAATCAGCTCCACGCTTCCTACGCAGCTGATGCAAAGAAGGGCATAAGTCATAGCCTTAAGAAGATAAAAAATAAACTAAGTACTCAAAAAAAAAAATCAGAAGGACTCCTGGAAGTGAGCCCTGTGAGAAATTTCTTCTATGGATCCTTCTAGAAAAAAAGGAGAACCATACGAGAGGAGAACAGTGTCCCTAGCAATATCTTGCAGTAAGAGCTGTTTCTCATTTAGAATTCCGAGGAACAATCTGGAAAGTAGTTCTACTCTGGCCTCCTCACAGAGCAAGGGGAGCTAGACGGTGGGAATCTGTCCCCTCTCCCTCCCCCGTCCATTGTCCTGGCTGCAGCCAGGGAAGTTCCACTTTTATCTGTTCTACATACTGGACTTGCTCACGATATTTCTTTGTATAAAAAATAGAAAAAAGAAGTGGGGGAGTAGCTCTGCTGCTTCTAACATTTTGAAAGCCAGTCCCCTGCAAGAGGGATGGGCCATTTACCCACAGGCAATCCTCTGTGGCTCTCGTCTTTCTGATGCGGCCTTTGTGGCATTGACAAGGGTCCAAATGTGAGAAGCACTCCTTGTAGCCTTGATCTCCATGGTCAGCCAGGCCACAGGGAGGGCTGATCATCCCCTAAGAAGCATGAAAGGAATCACAGTCCTCCCTCCCCTTGAGCTCTAGGTGCCATGAGTACCCATGGGCAGGGCTAAGAACTGTCTCAAAAGAAAAGGAAGAGGGACTTCCCTGGTGGTGCAGAGGTTAAGAATCCACCTGCCAATGCAGGGCACATGGGTTCGAGCCCTGGTCCAGGAAGATCCCACATGTCGCGGAGCAACTAAGCCTGTGAGCCACAACTACTGAGCCTGCGCTCTAGAGCCTGCGAGCCACAACTACTGAGCCCACGTGCCACAACTACTGAAGCCCGAGCACCTAGAGCCCATGCTCCGCAACAAGAGAAGCCACCGCAATGAAGAGTAGCCCCCGCTCGCCACAACTAGAGAAAGCCCGCATGCAGCAACGAAGACCCAATGAAGCCAAAAATAAAAATTAATTAATTAATTAACTAAAAAGAAAAAGAAGAGTGCCATTCCACGATCAGATGGATGGACAGTAGAGTCTCAGAGATGCTGGGTAAATTTTAAAGTGAGTATTAAATGCGCATCTTACTGTGTTAAGTAACAACAACCCAAACAATCTAAGTAATGCACCTCAGAATATCTGTTTCCTGTGTATCACTTGGATGGGTTGATCCAAGAGAACTATTGGCTAGAAGCTGGTTAAATATTAGAGTTTGCCCCCCCACCAAAAAAAAAAATGATGTCTTTTGTTTTAGAATAATTAATGTGGAGACCTGCTTTCTGGCAATGATTAGGTAGTAGTTCTTGTCATTCTTTGGACATTACAGAATTTTACCCTTCTGATTCTACAGAGAATGGGGACAAGAGGAGACGGTCAGAGAGGGAGCAATGAGGAACAAACTAAAAAGAAGAGGGTCAAAGACAGCTTTGTTGTATCCCTCGGGACATATTTGTCTGATCTATCAAAAGACAGTTCTGTCCCTGACTCTTAAAATAGTATTAGGGTTAGAGGTCTGTCAAATTGGGGCTCTTCCTTGCACTCAAACAGCTTCGCCGTTAACTTATTGTTGAGAACAGAGTCAAAAGCTGAGGGGCTTCCCTGGTGGCTCAGTGGTTGAGAGTCCACCTGCCGATGCAGGGGACACGGGTTCGTGCCCCGGTCCAGGAAGATCCCACATGCCGCGGAGCGGCTGGGCCCGTGAACCATGGCCACTGAGCCTGCGCGTCCGGAGCCTGTGCTCCGCAACGGGAGAGGCCACAACAGTGAGAGGCCCGCGTACCGGAAAAAAAAAAGCTGAAAATCGGTGTGTCATAATCTTATGTTATTCCTGAGAGATTTGTTCACATGCTGAGAGTGGGTGATAGAGTGGGCAACAGTGGTGGAGCCACATCTAAAGTGGCTGACAATGGATAGATATGCCTAAAACCTGCCTAGTTATCATGTATGTTGAGCTGAGCAGTCTAGATGGCAAATTCCCATCCTACAATGTCTATTGAGTGCCTATGCGGTATCAAACACAGTGAGAAGGGTGAACAGGAAACGACCCCTGCCGGTTAAGGAGATTATAGGGTAGAGTGGGAGAATGACAAACAAACAGATAATTAAATGTAAAAAGTAGTCAATGCCTCCAACTGTGCAAGCACAGATGCTGTGGGAGCATTATGGGGGACGGAATGGGAGAGAGGGGTGCAAGAAAAGAGTTTCAGAGGAGGGAACTCAGAACTAAGACCATGAACTAGCCAAGTGAAAGGAAGAGGGGAGGGACTGCAGAAAGTGTTGAGCTGAGGAAAGTGCAAGGGCAAGGACCTGAATACGAAAGGAAGCATGGCACATTGGAGGTAATAAAAGTGCTTCAGTGTGGCTGGGACATAGAACATGAGAGTGGAGTGGAGAGAGAAGGAGCAAGAGAGATATTCAGGGACAGGTCACATAAGGTCTGAATAGGGTTCAACCTTTTCAACTGTGGAGAACAGAGAGCCGTTGATGATTTTTCAGCAAGAGGGAAAAATACCTAGACTTGTTCTCTAAAAGGATACCTGTGGAAGCAGCATGAAGAATGGTTTGGTCTAGCAGGGGTGTGGACACTCCTGTGCACAAGAGGGTGATGGCCTGAACAGAGGTAGTGAGGAGAAAGAAAGGCCTGTATTGGAGAGATTCGGATAGTTGAATCAACAGAACATGGTCATTTATTGAATGTCGAGGTGAAAGAGAAAGAGATGCTGAGCATTACACTTCTTTTGTGACTTGGGAAACCGGATAGATGATTTCATTGACTGCTGAGGTGAAGAACACCTTTAGGGGGATAGGGTGGTTTGAGGACGAGTTTGGTACATGTTGGATTTAAAGAGCCTCTAGGATGTCCAAATGGGGATGTCCCTGCAGCAGATAATATACGAGCTTAGAGCTCAGGAAGGGATCTGAGCTGGAGCTACAGATGTGAGCACCATCAGGACAGGGTTGTGACTTGAAGCCTTGAAGAGGCGCCGCTGGCTGTCCCTGCATACTCGCCTCCCGATGGTGTGCCCTACAGCAGAAGCAGTGTGAAGGGATCCTTCTAGACCATGGGGCAGCTATGGGGGTCCACATCTTTTCCATCTTGAAAGAGTCAGATGGGCAAGGCTGAGTCTCAGGGCCTCATCCTTATGGCACAGACATAATACCAACCAAAAGAGTAGACTCGGACCTTTTTCAAGTGCCCCCTCACCAATCCTGTACATCTGAGCAAAAATAGTTGATACCGGCCCCTCACCACCAAGGGGTGAGCAGGCTGTATTTTATTGGCCTGTTTCTTCCTAAAACCCTGCTAGAGAAGCAGGGGGGAGTGCATAACCACTATTGATTCAACTGCTTCAGTTGAATGGGCTATGTTGAACAGCCCATTGAAAAATATGGGCTATGTTGAACAGTTCAAATTTATGATTGATAGATATTAATTTTTGAGCCAGATTATATTCACCATCTAAATTCTTTACTTATATTTTAATGGAAAATAAATAAGCATATAAAAATTCCTGTACATCAATAGACTGAGAACCACTTTACTTTTTCATCTCATTTCCAAAATGTAGAACCAGAATTTTAAGAAATATATATAATGCTAGACTTGCTGATTGATTGGATTTGGTGGGTGGGAGTGAGACGACTCACAGGATTCGACAACTGGATGAAGGGAGGTGAAAATAAAAAGTCAAGGAACTCAGAAGAAGGAGCAGATTTGAACATTCTGAATTTGGGGTGCCTGCACAGTATCCAGCCATTAGATCGTATTTATGGGTTCTGATCTCAGGAGACACAGGTTTGGGAATCACCAGCTTCTAGCTGAGAGCAGGAGACACTGGCAGGGATGAGATTGGCCCAAGGGATCAAGTTATGAAGAAAAATAAAGATCAAAGAGAATTAAGACTGAGAAGGTATTTTAGTTATCTATTGTTGCATAGCAAATGACTTAAAAACCACACACATTCCTTTTTCTTTTTAACTTTTTATTTTTTATTGGAGTATAGCCAATTAACAATGTTGTGACAGTTTCAGATGCACAGCAAAGGGACTCAGCCATACATATACATGTATCCTTTCTCCCTCAGACTCCCCTCCCATCCAGGCTGCCGCATAACATTGAGCAGAGTTCCCTGTGCTATACAGTAGGTCCTTGTTGGTTATCCTTTTTAAATATAGTAGTGGGTACATGTCAATCCCTAACTCCCTAGCTATCCCTTCCCCCCACCCCCACCCCAGTAACCATAGCTTTGTTCTCTAAGTCTGTGAGTCTGTTTCTGTTTTGTAAATATGTTCATTTGTATCATTTCTTTTTAGATTCCACATATAAGCGATATCATACGATATTTCTCTTTCTTGTCTGACTTACTTTGCTCAGTATGGCAATCTCTAGGTCCACCCATGTTGCTGCAAATGGCATTATTTCATTCTTTTTAATGGCTGAGTAGTATTCCATTGTATATGTGCCACATCTTCTTTATCCATTCCTCTGTCGATGGACGTTTAGGCTGCTTCCATGTTTTGGCTATTGTAAACAGCACTGCAGTGAACATTGGGGTGCATGTATCCTTTCAGACCATGTTTCTCTCCAGATATATGCCCAGGAGTGGCATTGCAGGTTCA